GCTACAATGAAAGAGGAAGATCTTGTGGCTTGGGTAACCACTGTGAGTTGAAACAGAGGGGCTACAAAATATATTCCTTGCCTTAATGATAGAAGTATTTAAATTCTCAGGTGATAAAACTAACTGGAGTTTGGAATTTTACGTTTGCTGTGTTAGTCATCAGTGCAATAAAAGCTCTTTCAGAGAGGTCATCCACCTGGAACCTCTGGGTAAATAAGCTGCAAGAAGCATTTCTGAACTTGACGAATGTTACTTCAAAATGAACTTTTCATCATGTAGGAGTTTGCTGCTTCAAGGAGAAATATGAGGAGCTGCACTTCCTAATGTATAAAGGAAGGATGTCTTTGGGCTGGTCAGTGCTGCTGCCACTTGGCTGCCTTGCTCCGGGTCCCCTCCTGCTTGTAGCTGCATCGTGCCCAGCCCTGGCTCGTGGTCTGGCTCGGAGGATGCCCAAGGCAGCAGGAGAAGGACCAGGGGAGGGAACGGGCATCGCAAGGACCCCACTGAGAACCGACTGTTGATAAAGGTCATCTCTGTGTTATGCAGGAATATGAGAGGCATCTTTGTAATATAACTGTATTACAGACCTGCCTTCATCCAAAGGCATGTGAATGCAACAGAAGTTCAGTTAACACTCTTCTCACTAGCTTTCTATGTGCAGTATGGACCTGCCAAATGAACGCTTAGCAAAACTTGTATTTTAATCATTTGTACTAGTACCAAATAATCACATTCCCACACTTCAGATACTTCTTTAATCTATGTCTTCAACCAAAAAATGTTAACTTCTTCTTCAGATGCCATTCCATTAACGTACTGGGTTAGTGTTTTCAAACATGCCCTTTCTAGAAGGTAAACTGGGCATGAGTGATGGATGAGTGAGAACTGTAGTTCCCAGCACATTCCCAGTTACAGATCACATATCCCTGTTGAATAGTTAATCATGCAGTGAAACATATTCCAGCTGGAAATGGAGATGTCACCAGCGTAACTACCAGGTAATAGAGGTGGCAGCAGTTGTGCTGGGGGCTCCACAAACTTTTGGATGATTCTACAAGAAGATGCTGCTGGTTTAGGGGAGTCAGAAGTGCCACATGAATGTCATGAAGCCACTTCAAAACTGTGCCCACCAGGAGTAAAGCAGAAAGTACACAATGATACGCCAAGCATCTTGTCAAGTTGAGTTGTACTCACCCAATAGAGATGCCCCTGCTCTAGCAAGCAGAGTCATATGGGCAGAGATTTTTAGGGTCTCACATAAAGAAACCCATCCATTTAAAGAGCAGCTGAATTCCACCTTAAACTCCAAAAAACAAAAAGTTTTATCTTAGCAAGCCTTTTGCAGCCCTCTCACCAGAGAGTAGTTATTTATTGAACTTAGAATTTTTATCAGGTATTTTTTTCACAGTCTAAAAATAAAATCTGTCACAAAGGGCCGGGGGCAGTGTAAAGAGGAGAGCAATATATCACCGACTGATAATCAAATTGTGTCTATCAAGCAATTTATGAATTTCTAACATTTATCCTAATAAGAAGGAAAATATTGAAAAAAATGTTCATAACAACCCATACGTCAACTTATCACCCTTAAACTGATGCGAAAATACCAGATGATCTCATTTCTACTTCCACTAGACCCAGCCTGCTGCTGTAGAGGACTCATGGCTAGCTTCAGCCTCCTGAAACCGCGATAAGGAGAAACAGCCATAGGCTAGAAGGTGGCAATTTGTGGAGCAAGAACATCTCCTGACCTGGAGAAGAAGCGTCAAGCCATAACGATGCTTGAAATCACTCTCAAGTGGGCAGATGTTCAAAAACAGCATTGGGGGGTCATTATCAGGCCTCCCAGATAAGCACAGGACCTCTGCTAGTCGTTGGGAGGGTGGCAAATGGAAAACCTGAATGCTCATTCAAAATGAGACACAAAGCCGAATATCCGTAGTTTAGCCAGTCAGTCTGTGATAACAAAGGAAGGAAACCGAGAGTGTCACCATCAGCAAGGGAGAACCAGAATGGAACATTCAAAAAAAGCAACAAAGAAGTGATAAGACTTCAGGATGGAAAAATACTGAGGAAAATATTGGGGGGAAAAAAGATAAAGCAAATGGAGTGATGAGATTGAATTCATGAACACATTTGACCTCTCTTTTGAGTAATGTGTGGTCTTTGTTAGAGCTCAGTATAGGGTTTCAGCACTTGGCTGAAAAATGAGCATGTTGGAGATATTGTGTTTTAGCTGGGTGTTAAGGCTTGCTCCCACAGCAAGGTTCCTATCATCTTCTGTTGGTTCTGCTGATTTTTCATCCAGAAGTAGAACTCCAACTAGGTTCTTGAAATGACTTAAAATATAACTTAAAAGTTATCAAGTTGTCAAAGACAAAAATGCAAATTTATAAGCCTACTTTGGTTGGTTGAAGTGAGAGTACGACTGGGTCCTTTTCACGTTGCAAAACTGTATTGGCTTTGCTCAGCAAAAGCACATGTGAAAGGTGTGTGAGCAGCTGAAAGAAAATGAGGCACCTGTGAAATGTGGAGTTCTTTAGCTCATGTTCTCATTCCTCAAATCCTGACAAAAAACATCTACCGCTGATAGAGGGGTGCCAAATTAATTCCTGATGCAGTTCTAAAATCTGAGGGCTGCTCTACATGTGGACACTTTCAAGCAGGAGCAGTCCAGCTGCAGATACTTTTATTCAAAGTAAAACTGCCTTTACTTCACCTCAGTTTAATGTATTTTGGAATACAGTCCCATTTGGAATAAGCACACCCACAAGTTTATACCAATTTGCTTAATTCTAATTGTATTTTACTTGGGTTAAGTTTTTGACAAGCCTCAAGTTACATGAGGGGTAACTGAGGCTGAGCATTCAAAGGGCTGTGAAGAGAAAGCGCCTTGGAGCCAGCAGCTTTCCCATCAGCTTTTGAAATTAATACTTTAATAGTGGGGATTTCTGTGTTTTGATCATCTATTTCCTATGACAGCGAACTACTTTGAAAACCCCGACGGTTTGCTGCGCGGCAGAGCCTGCCACTCACAGCCTGAGTGCAGTTTAGAAACCACCCCGGCAATGAAGCCCTGATGAGTGCCAGTGGAAAATGTTTGACTCCACAGAACTGCAGTCTCCTTTTTTTTTTTTTTTTTCCCCCCACTCTTTTCCTTTTCTCTGTTTTTATTGTTGCTACTTTCCAGCAAACTTAGTTTCTTTTACAGAAAGGATTTTTTTCTTTTCCCTCCTAAGAGGAAGGAGATGCCAGTGCCAACATTCTGCGTTTGTGCACGTCCTTAACTCAGTCCCTCGGGGAAGTGCTCCTCGTCACCGGAGAGCAAGAGCAGGAGAGGGGGAACGTAAACTAGTCCTCCAGCCCTCTGCAAGACAAATTTCAGTGTTCAGCTGGCTGGATTTTCTAACGCAAGCAAGGAAACCTCAGGCCAGCCTACTCCCAGACTCGGTGATATCATGCAGGAATGAGGAGGTATGATTCATCACCAGTTGCACAGGGAAAGGGCAGCTTTTGTAGCCTCTCGGCAGAGGCACACGCTCGCGTGGAGCAAAGAGTGTGGGTGAAAGCTCCGCTGGGAGCAGCTGCAGCCGAACTGCTCCTCTGCTCGGGCAAAGCGAACAAAGGTTATTGTGTTTTGGGCTCATAACACGGGACGCTCACTGCATTCATGTTGCTAAATCACAGGGCTGCAGCACAGCTTGGGAGGGGGTTTAAAAGTCGCAGCTCCCCGCCCCGTCCCAGACCAAAGCCTCCTGGATAACATGGGCACGGCGGTGAGACAGTCAGCCAGACCTTCCCGTGGTGCGTGCAGAAAGATTTCACAGCAAATAGAGTGTAAATCGGACTCAGAAACAGGGCAACAAGAAGGCACTTGATGAAGCTGGACTCCTCAAACAATTAATCCTTTGTTAGGTCCTTTTTTGAAATGGGTTTTTTCAGCGAGACCTTTCCAGCAAGAGAGGGAGATTTACAGGCATTTTGAGATTTGCTTTTGGGGGAGATGCTGAGCAGCGGTGCTGAGCAGCCTTCCCACCTCCAAACTACCCCTGTGTGCCTACAAGCTGTCGCCTTGAACACCCTCTGCAGCGTGGAGCATCCTCTGGGTGCTCCCACGGTCACCAGCTCGGCTCTACTGCTGGGAAGCTGGGATGGTCTGTGGTGCCTGGGGCTGCCCCAGGGACCCCAGCAAGGACACGGGGATGCTGGGGTGCATTGGCCAAGCCATTCCCTAACAGCTTTAAACCCAACCTGATTATTCTATTGGAGGGTCTTTTTTTTGGCCAAGTGATAACCATGAAGGATTTCCAAACTGCCTTAATCCCAAACTGATTATTTTCTTGGAGGTTTATCTTTTGGCCCAGTGATAGCCATGAAGGATTCCCCAACTGCTTTAAACCCAACATGATTATTTTCTTGGAGGTTTATCTTTTGGCCAAGTGGTAACTGTGACAGATTCCCAAATGGCTTTAAACCCAACCTGATTATTTTCTTGGAGGTTTGTCTTTTGGCCCAGTGATAACTGTGACAGATTCCCCAACTGCCTTAATCCCAGCCTGATTATTCTCTTGGAGGTTTACCTTTTGGCCAAGTGGTAACTGTGACAGATTCCCAAATGGCTTTAAACCCAACCTGATTATTTTCTTGGTTTATCTTTTGCCCCAGTGATAGCCATGAAGGATTCCCCAACTTCTTTAAACCCAACCTGATTATTCTCTTGACGTTTTCACTTTGCTCCTTCAACATACTGCTCGTAGTGAATAAAACAGTCGTCACTACACATTTAATGACCTATTGCATCCTCCTCCTTCCACTCCCGAGGATGCAGGCGCGCTAAGCGGAGGCTTCCACGGCACCAAACGCACACGTTTAACTTTACTACTGCGAGCAGTCGCTGCAAATCCCACCGGTCAAAACTTGGAAGGGAAAATCCGGCCTAAAGCTCCCCCCACGACGGCCGGGCCGGTCCCGCCTCCGCGGGGCGTGGCGGGGAGGTGGGACCGGCCCGGCCCGGGCTTTAGGAGCCGCGGGCGGGGGCTCGCCCGGGGTTCGCGAGTGGGAGCCGGAGCCGCAGCCACCCGCGGGCAGGGAGCGCCCAACCGCCGCCATGTCCCACTCGGTGGTCCTGCGTGGCCCCTCGCCGTGGGGTTTTCGTTTGGTGGGCGGGAAAGATTTCAGCGCCCCGCTGACCATCTCCAGGGTGAGCCGGGGGGGCTGGGGGGGGGGGCGTGGGGGGGAGCGGGGCCCGACGGCAGGTGATGGGCGGCGGGGGGGAAGCAGCTTTTGTGGTGTTTTCAAGTCTCTCTGACAATATATCCCCCCCAAATACAGGCGAGTCGGGGTTTTCCTCTGTTTCAGCTGCTCCTCCCTGTGTTAACACAGAGCGAACAGCATTCTCCATGCTTTATTTCTTTGGATGTTAATTCATAAAGATCTGCTTTCAAAGCTTTTAGTGCTCAGCACTACAGAGGGCTTGGACTCATGCCCTGGACCGAGTTCACAGGCTGTTGGGTTTTTGGTTGGATTTTTTTTTTTTTTTTTTTTTTTTCCTCCCCCTTTAGGAAGGCACAAGTAAAGTCAGCAAGAAGTTTCTCTGTATAGGCTGCTGTGTTATGGGGTCCCTGTGGGCTGGTAGTAATTACTGTGTAAGTGTACTCACACTTGTATTTAACCTCACAAAGCTGTATTCTGGAAAAGTCCTTGCGAAGACACCGCGGCTAGCTTGAAATAGCCTCGGTGAATAGATATAGGTGGAAACAAACCACCCTCCACGCGGGGAGAAGCACAGCGAGGTGGTGGGATGGGGTGGGCTGTGTGATGGGCAAGGTGCTGGGCACGTTCCCACGGACACTGGTGTTTCCATCGCCGTCGGGCTCCTCGGGGAAGGGCCTGGACACGCGGAGCTTCCCCGCTTCCCACGGTGGGTCAGGGCTGTGTCGCATTGCCGAGCTCTCCGGGGCAGCCGCTGCTGGAGCGCTTGACCAAACCCTGAGGAGTGAAAGGCTTTGAAAACAGCTATAACTTAAAAATATTGTCGTAACGCGTGCAAGCTGTTCGCTGCCTTTCCGTTCCTCTGCCAAAGCCGTGACAGAAAAGGGGAAACGTGTACCCTGAGTTCTAAAGAAATCATGGTGGAAGAGAGCGTGTTTTGAAGAGGCTTGGTTTGTATTTGAGTTCAAATGCGCCTGGTACGCAGCTTTGTGTCTCTGTTTTTACTTTGGACTGTCCCTCACCAAGTGTTCCAGCCAGGGATTTTAGGCGGAGCAGCAGGAGATGGATGGAGAGGAGGGAAACCCTGGCCCAGGGAGCAGCACCCGGTGGGACTGGCTGTGCTGCCGGGGTGTCTGCGCCGAGCGGGGAGACCCTCCGCTCTTCAGGCTCAGCCTCCCTTCCAGAGCACAGGGAGATTCTCTTCCTCCCCCCATCATGTGGGATGTATCACACCAAACCGCAAAATCGCCTCTTGGTGCCTGTAAAAATGTTCCTGTTGTGAGGATAAGCATCTTAATTTACCGGAGGGAGCCTGTTTTCCTGCTACTTTTAAAAAATTTTGGTTTAATATTAAACAAGAAAAAAAAAAGTCTGCTTTTGCCTAGACAGGTGGCTTCCAAAATTCCTTGTTTGATTCAGCAAACCTGGAATAGTGTGAGGATAATTCTCATCAGGCCACTCTTGCTTTGGATTGCAACGAGCTGTAATGCAAATAGCAGTCATCGGGTGTTGTTTCATGTTGCTGAGTGTGGCAGACTTTTAAATGATATCCTTTCTGAATTCTGCTCCTGCTGAAGAGAGGGGTGATGCTCTGGTGTGCTCACAGCTGCTCCGGGAGGGTGATAAACAACTCACTGGGGTATAAAGGTGGGTGTAGGGTGCTCTGCTTGGCCTCTAGTCTCTTAATGCAAGAAGAGACCCCATTGGCTTTGGAAATAGTACCTGAAAATGTTAAAATTGGGGAAGAATTGGCTTCTGCTGTAGCTCCCAGCCATGGGGGTGCAGGAAGGGGCTCGCTGGGGAGCCAGGGCTTGGGTTGGTGCTGAGTCTGTGCGACCCTGCCTCTTTGCAGGGGACTGAGCATGGCTGTTGTGGTGCCATATTCACTTTTATTCTGTATCTGTCTAGTTGGGCAATTAGTTTAATTGTCTAACCAGGCAATCAGCCCTTCCTAGCTTGAAACCTGGGCAAGGAGGCTGGGGGCTGCAGGAGGGAGGGAGCCCCTTGCAGTAACCTAATTGTTGAGGCTTTTGGCTGACTCCTGCTTCTTCCTTCAAAGTGCCTTTTTTATTTCTGCACGCACCCCCTTTTTTTTTTTTTTTTTAATAGTTTTACATTAAAACGCCATTAAATTACAAACATATTTGGAAAAGGGGAAATTCTGCTGGGAGGTGGAAGCAAACACTGGGGCTCCCCAGATGCCAATGTGGGCCGGGCTGCCCAAGGGGTGCGGGTTTGCTGCACCCCACTGCTGTGCCCAAGGGGGGCTGAGGACTGACGTGCCACAGGGTGCTTGGACTGTGCAGCTCTGCAAGCATCCTACCTGGCCTGGTCACGTTGGGAGTTCACAGATTGCAGTTTGGAAATGGAGACATCCAAAAGCCACCCGTGTTCGGTTCTGGGTGCCAGAGGCTGGCTGCCTACTTTTAAAACACAAATTTGGCTGTGTAGGGGTTGAAAATAAGTTATTTGGTCATTAATAGATTGTTTGTCTCTACTGCTTGCTGAGCTACTACAGGAAACAATTTGTCCCCAGACCTCTCACTAGCTGTAACAGTGCAGAGATGTGTTGCTGCCCCAGGAGCCACAGCTAGTGATGCTTTGCTGCGTGCTTCAGGGATTCTAGAAGGGTGCAGCTTCTTCTCCAAAGCCTGTCTGAGTGTCATTGCTTGAGGTTAAGCAAAGGCAGAGTTCCTTAATGTTGCAGTAGTGGGACCTGAAGCTGAGGTGAAATATTGAAGCAGTTGGTGTGAAAGGGGCTGCCAGACCGGGCTGAGCTGAGTGAGAGGCACCTGGCATGGGGCAGGAAGCAGAGCTGAGTGGTCCCCAAAAGTGGCTTGTGACAGTGTTGTCAAGGGATACACTTCCAAAAATATGGATTTGGCAGCAAGGAAAGTAACAGTCACTCAGTCCTGCTTTGGAATGGGACTTGACTCAGTCAGCAGGACTTGCTTTAGCCTTTAGCTCCCTGTGGGGTCACTGCATTTGTGCAGGTGCAGCTGATGGTGGTGAGCCCATCCCTTGCAGCTGTTTCAAATAGGCTGGTGAAATCGAGGCATGATCTATTTTTCTTGAAAGCAGGTCACTTCCCTCTGTGGTTTGATCAGTCTTAAGTGACAAGTGGTAAAGATCTGATTGTCCAAGTGCCTGGGAACAGCTGATGCTGAGCACTGCCCTAGAGAGGCCAGGGCTGGAGTTGGAGTATTGACTGTTAAAGATAAGGAAAGAGAAACGCAAACCCAGAAGGGTGTGCTTAGACCATCTTTCTCATGTGGTTATATAAAAACTGAGGTGTGCTAGCCACCTTTTTATCCCCTCTGTTTTTTTTCTTGCATGTTTGAGGGACCCGGGTGAGCGGGGCTGGAGTTTGCCAGGCTGGTTTGGAGACGTGCAGCCCCAAGGGTGCTGCAGCAGCCAGACATGGGGGTCGAGGTGGTGGTGCCTTGTCAGCACAGTGCTGGGAAGGGAATCATAGCCCCAGGCTGTGCTCGGGGGGAGAAACCCGGCTCCTCCTATACCCACAGTTACAGCAAGCTAAAGCCAGGTGTAGTACATCACCTAATTGATGGTTGTTCCTCCTAGTGATATTTATAGGGGTAGGGGAATGACTCGAAACATCTGCTTAGAGTTGGCCTTAATGACTTGATAGAAACTGGTTTTAAGACTTGAGTTTCTGGGAGCTGGCAGCTGCTTTTCCTTGGTTGAGCAGGTTAACAACTGGGTACTGTGTTTGCCTCTCATGGGAGAGGGGGTTTACTATGGCTGTACTCAAGGTAGAAACAACATTGCCTTTGACCAGCAACCACAGTTCAGGAGCAGAAATGGAATAACTTACTCAGCTGTTCTCAGTGTTGTGCTTATAACCACATAAGTGAGTGCTGCGGTGCTGTGTGGGATCACAGTTGATCTACCCCTTGCCTGGGATTAAAAGATAATCAGTCATTAGCGTAACTAGAGGAGCTGAATGTATTTAATCACTTGAACTCACTTGTCCAGCTCCTAGAGCAGTCAATGTCGTCATCTACCCAACTCTGCCAGTGTTAATCCATGCACTTGCTGCTTTTAGAATCATAGATAAATTGCTTGGCCATACAGATAATTGCCAAGTGGACTGATTTCAGTATTTCAGAAAAAGTTTTAGATACAGTTTTTCCTTTATCTGCTGTCTTCAACACCAGTTTATCCGCTAGTCTCTAGCAGGGCAGTAAAAATGCATTTTTTCAGTGTTGTCTTGGAACTGTAACACAAGAAGGGTGAGAAATAATTGGACTGCAATCCATTATCCAGGTATTGTTTGAGTTAAGGTTGACTTTTAAACTTAAGTAGCTTTTGTATTTGAGCAAATACGTGTGCTGTTAAAGGTTAGAATACCCGAGAAGGAATTCTGCTGAGGGAGGAATTCCAGTAAAAGTTGTCTTGTTGACTCCATCAAGGCAGCCGGCAAATGCCCGAGTGGGTTGCTGTGATCCCACTTGAATGCAGATTACCTGCTCGGAGTAGTAATTTCTGGGGTGGCCTGCGAGTTATGTTCTTACGTTCTCAGGGTTGGGGATGGCAGAGCACGAACTCCATGGTGTTGGCGAAGGCAAGAGCCAGAGGTGCCAGCAAAGGGAACAGGGTTTTTTTTTTTTTCCTTCCCATAAGGTTTTTTTCCTGGTTCTATGTGTAACTTGTATGTATCTGTTTATTAAATGGAAATTATGTGCTTTCTGTTCAGGGCTCCCAAATGGGCTGGAATAGTTGCGTTCTGTCAATGAATCCTAAACTGAGGACCCCAGCTGATTTCTGCTGACTTTCAGTGGTTTCATTGCCTGGATAGAAGAACCAAGTGATGAACTAGTATGTTATAACAAACATTAATAGCTAGCAAGTAGAATGATTTTTTTTTTTTTTTTTTTTAAGTAGAAGGAAATAGTTTTTCTTGTCATTCTTTTTTTTGTTTCATCATTCTTCCAGTGACTGCTTGTTGTAAGGTCTGGAGTGAGAGAT